GCATCACTGTGGTGGAATCTTCTGGGAGGTATTTCCTCAGGGTCAGCACACAGAGGGGACCCACACCTCTAAGACAGTACTTGTTTTGAATTTTACAGAAGCCCACCCAGAGTTGAGACTTTTAAAAGAGACTATGGACTTTTAAGTGTTTGGATTTTTTTAAGGTCTGTGGGGTTTTTAAGGTAGTACTGTCTTATGTTGTGATATTAATGTTAACATCATAGCTTGGAGATAAGAATTGGAAAGCTTATGGCTTAGTAGTGATGTGTTTGTGTATCAAGTTGACAAGGGGTCAGTTGTGCTGGATAGCTTTAGTGTCAACTTGACACACCTGGGTTGAGGGAGCCTCAATTGGAGAATTGCCTATATTGGATTGGCCTGTGGCCATGTCTGAGGCGCATCTTCTTGATGAATGATGTGGGAGGGCCCAGCCCACTGTGGGTGGTGCCACCCCTGGACAGGTGGGCCTGTGTTGCATAAGAAAGCAGGCTGAGCAGGGGCCAGGGGAGCAAGCCAATAAGCAGCATTCCGCCATGGCCTGTGCTCCAGCTCCTGCCTCCAGGTTCCTGCCCTGAGTGCCTACCTTGGACTCCCTGATGAACTGTGACCTGGGAGATGTAAGCTAAATAAACCCTTTCCTCCCCAAGTTGGTACTGGTCAGAGTATTTTGTCACAGAAATGAAGAACAAACTATGGCACATATGAATCTTAGGATTTTTTTTTCCAATTCTGTGAAAAATGTCATGGGATTATTGATTGGCATTGCATTGAATCTATATATGCCTCTTGGTAGGATGGTCATTTTCACAATATTAATTCTTCCAATCCATGAGCGTGGGAGGTCCTTCCATCTTCTGATGTCTTCCTCAATCTCTTTCTTTAAAGATTTAAAATTTTCATTATAGAGCTCTTTAATGTCTTTGGTCAGGTTTATTCCAAGATATTTTATTTTATTTTTTTGCAGCTATTGTGATGGGGAGTGTTTCCATGTACTCTTTCTCTGATTGCTTGTTATTGGTATATAGAAAGGCTACAGACTTTTGTAGATTAATTTTGTAACCCGCCATTTTACTGAACGTGTTAATAATTTCTATGAGTTTTCTGGTGGAATTTTTGGCATCTCTTAGATATAATATCATATCATATGCAAAAGGATAATTTGATCTCTTCTTTTCCAATTATTACTCCTTTAATTTCCTGCTCTTGTCTTATTGCTCTTGGAAGAGTTTCAAGCACTATGTTAATGAGGAGTGGAGATAGTGGACAGCCTTGTCTGGTTTCTGATTTCAGTGGGAATGCTTCTAGTTTTTCTCCATTTAGAATGATGTTGGCTGAAATGGCTTTAATTATGTTGAGGGATTTTTCCCTCCAGTCCAATTCCCTTAAGGACTTTAAACATAAATGCATGTTGAATTATGTCAAAGGCCTTTTCTGCATCTATTGAGATGACCATGTGATTCTTGTCTTTGAGTCCATTTATATGATTTATGACGTTGATTGACTTACATATATTGAACCATCCCTGCATCTCTGGAATAAAGCCAACTTGATCATGGGGATGATCTTTTTGA